GTCTAAAATATCTTGTATACATATGGATTAAAAAATAAAAGTAATATATCAAAAGAAAAAAAAACAGAGAGAGAAAAAAAAAAAGGAGGACTTGGACTCCCACATTAATACATTGTACTTCAAAGTGGTCAATTCTTATTATTTGATTATCTGACAAATTATCGGTACATGATGAGAAATTATTATGGTTCAAAGTTAATGGTAATGGTTCTTCTATTGAGGCAGTATTTTTAATAAACCACTTACAAGAACAATTTGCATGGTGTGATAAGGGAATAGCCTTTAAGGTAATTTAGAGCCTATTCCAGGTAACTCTTCTTGAAATGATCTCTCCCAATAAATACCTTGTGGATGAGATTCTGAACATTTGTAATTTTTGAAAATACTTCATTTTTATTTATTTTTTTCTTTGTAAAGTCTTTTATGGTTTTGATCATGAAAATCATGATACAAATAATTGAAATAAACAAATCTGTGTTTTCTGCACATTTAAGTTTTTCTTGATGAAAATTTCTTTCAAGTTCTTTCAAATTGCAACATACAGTTGTTGATTAGATAGTATCTTTCTGAGTACAAAGTAAGTCTTCAGTTTTTATGATTTTAAAACACTGATTAGATTGTAATCTAGTTATAGGAATTGTGGAGCTATTTTGCATAAAACTCATTCTTGCAAAGATAATCTGTAAAACTATGAATATTTGATTGTCTTAGTATCACATATTTGATTATATCAAATGTCAAAAATTTTAAGTATTTTGCAGTGAAATACTGTGTATCTCCATGAGTAGAGGAATCTCAATGCCATGCAATAATTTGAGGTTGAAAAGCATTTAATAAGAATTGTTTTCAGGACCACAGCTTGTAATATAAATGTAGGTGGGTGTTTAGAATGTTTTACTTTATTATGTATCTTCTCTTCAGATCAAGATTTATTTTAAGAACTTATTTTAAGGATTTATTTAACAACAGACTAAATTAGTATGTTAATGTATAGAATTTGGGGGAAATGAATTAAGCATTGTTGGTTCTTTTTTTAAAAGAGGAAGCCCCCATCTTAAAGGAACACCGTATTATAAGGAAGAACAATGCGCTCCATCATTAAATCTAGAGAAGAAACAAGTGCTAGATTTACAAGCAGCTATTACCAGGTACAGTGGCTAATAACTTCTATATTTAAATTCTTTACCAGAACAGCAGAAAATAAGGTGATTAATAATGCAGCATATAGTATAATTAAAATAGAAGTGAATAATATCATATTAGAGTATCAATTTTCTTGGCAGTTCCTCAGAATCTTGAATAAATCTTATCATCATCTGCTATCTACTTCTTTTAATCAGAAATGCTACAGCTATCCCCACCAAACAATTTCTGGAAAAAAGCTTACATATTGTTATCAATTTGACTGCCGTCTCATTCAGAAAGCGACTCACAGTGAATAAAGAATATTATTAAAACTTGCTATCTTATTTCTAGGCATATCATTTATAAGAATCATTTTTATGATTACATGCCTAATACAAATGGAACTAATTTACTGTTGAATAACATGAAATTTTATTTTAAAATGTGAATTATACAGGTTTTTTTCATTGAAAATAACGTACAGAAGTTCACTCTCTGCAAACAATTGCAAAATAGCTTCCTTGAATAGTAGGTAGAGTTATATTTTAGTGGAATAGCATTGAATAGCAGTAGCCATAGGATAATAAAAAGAATTTTAAAAAAGACAACATTTAGGATTTTTAAATTCCTACCATAAAATCATTTTTCTAGATGCACATGCCACAGCAGTGAAGCAATGTGTTATTGTAGAATGGAATAAATTAAGGAACTTCCCAGCTTTGTTATGAATATGAATTTTATAGACTATGTATTGAAAATTAATGTGTTGTGCAGTATGTTTCAAATATAGTCAGAATGGCTATTTACAGACCATTTGTCTTTTTTTGTTTTTTCAAAGCACTCTGGATTTATGAAATTATTTTCAACAAGATTAAATGGACTTTTTTTCTTGTTTCTATTTAATTGGGAAATTGGAATAAATACTTCTGTTTATTCTGTCCGTAGTAGTGCACTATTTTCATATTTTTTTGTATTCTGTCCATAGTAATTCGTCCTTATTTTTTACTTTGGAAACTCAGAATATATCGATTAATCCTCCAAATATCTCTAATCATTCTTGATATATTGAGGGGAATAATTGTATGGTTGATAGCATTGGTGTTCATAGTCACACTGAACTATTTTGAGTAAAAAAATAGTTAAAATGGCAGTTGTTATGAGTCTGACTGCCCCCCCTCCCCCAGACTCATAAATGCTGGTTGTTAGTTAAATAAAAGGAAGGGTGTTCACAGATATGTATCAATTGCCAAGAGCTCTAGTTTATCTACAAATAAGCATGGAATTGATCATTAACAGTCAGGATACCGCTGGTGCCAACAACAATACTTTTGTAGTGTACTGCTGGCTGAAGTTTGGAACAATATCATCTCTTCTGTTTTGTCTTGTGCAATTTAGATTCTATGACAACCATTGCAAAAACAGTACTGATTTTTGTTACCTTTCAACCATCGTAGTTCCATTTCAACAAATTTCTATTTCAACATTCATGACCTGGTTTTAGTTTAGAAAATATATAATTTTGAATTAATTTTTACTAAATCTTTTCAGCATGGCATTCTTGAAATAAGATCAAATATACTTAGTGGATTGAAAAATTTCCCATCAATATTCAAAGTATATAAAGAAAATTCTGAATTCACAAGAAATATAGATTCTGCAAGACAGGATGTTTGAACTTCCAAATGTTATTTCATGATCGAGTGAATGAGCATGTGTGTGATACTATTTGGACAGATTCTGTATGACTTTTCCTGCAGCAACACTGAGTGGCAGGACATGGATATTCCTAAAGCCTTTGCATTGTACAACTAGTCCTCACTTATGAACCACAAAATCTGTCATTAAGCAAAGTGGTTGTTAATTGAAATGCTACATGACTGCACGGACTTACATTAGTTCTAGCGGTGATTCTTAAGTGACTCATCACAGGTTGTTAAGTGCAATGTCATGTGACTGCAACTTGCAAGTTCCTGTGACTTCCCTGTTGATTTTGCTTGCTGCAAGCTGGCTGGGGAGGTTGCAAATCGCGATCATATGACCATAGGATGCCTCAACTATTATAAATGTGCACTGGTTGCCAAGTGCCCAAATTGCAATCATGTGACTTTAGGGATGCCGTGATGGCCACAACTTTGAGAACTGGTTATGAGTCTCCTTTTTCAATGGCATCATATCTTGGATCAGTCTCTGAATAAGTAGTCAACGGACCACTTGTATATAGTCTGTACTATATTTATCTAAAAGTACAAATGTTCACGACCTCAATTGCCAATACAGGTTTTGAACCCCATTGAATTCCCACTGGCTACCTTTGTGCAGCAAGTCCCAAAGAGGGTAAATCTGGTCATGTAACGCCTCCTAATGGTGACCAGTGTAACTGAAAACACAATATATACATTGTATAAAAATAGAACATTTTCCTTTTTCCTTAAAGTGGAGGGGATGGAAATCGTGTAAAACCTTATACATGCAAGCATGAAATAATGTAACATCACATCTCTCTTTGCTCTAAAAGCTTAATAGAAAGTGAACTGTATATACCATTTTGATTAATTTCAGATAGTTGGGAAGCTCTAAAATAGTACCCAAAGTCAGTCTGCGTCTGATTTATTTTGCTTCTCTTTGCACAATGCAGGGCTACTTTCAACAATTCTTGTTCTTCCACCCCTACATCCAGCTCCAAAAAGTTGGAGGATTATTTAGAGATGATAATTAGAGGTGATTGGGTTTATGAATACAGACATGTTGAAAAGTTCTAAAGAGAATTGATATATTAGTAAGATTGACATTTCTTTTATATCAAATATCTGATAAAATAATGTGCCTTGCTTGTAGTTTACAGTCCATGCTAGAGGATCTGATCATTGCTACGGCTGATGGCCTTCTACATCTTATTCACTGGGATGGTTTGACAAATGGAAGGAAAGCCATAAATCTCTGTACAGTACCATTTTCAGTGGATCTACATTCATCTAGAGGTATTTCTTATATGTATATATGGTTGAAAAGGGATTCTAAATTAAAATTTAATATTTTGTAATAATTCATAGCAGTTTCCATTTCTTATATTACATAGAAATAGAATTGATGAAGAGAGCTTACAATTTAATAATGGCAGCTTTTAATAATTCTGTTCTTTACCAGGTTCTTTTTTGGGTTTTGAAAATGTACACATAACAAATATGGAATACTGTGCTACTCTTGATGGATTTGCTGTAGTGTTTAATGATGGCAGAGTTGGTTTTATTACACCAATGTCAAGTGGATTCACAGCAGAGGTAAGATTTCTTAGCAGTTCAATAGTTTGATTAGCTTTTCCAAGATATATCAAATTATTTGGTCATCTGTTGTCTGTTTAGTAATATTTGAGCTATGCCTGAGAAATTGTGAAAATACATATAATTAGCCTCATTTACTAGAAAATAGGGTTAATTTACAGAAATATTCTAAATAAAATGAGATTCACTTTTTTTGCAGTAAAATATTAAAGTAAGATTACCCCTGTAAAGAAAGGATGAAATAGACAAGTAATATTTCTAGAATATCAGCTTGTTTCATAATCTCACACCGGCATTATTATATTCTGCTAATAAATTTCAGCTATTGTTTATTGTTAATTTATTTCCTTAAAATATGTTGTTCCCTTGTGCATCATTTATACATTCTTCCTTTAATATTTAGCACTATATAAAACAAATATTTCAGAATGCATGATACTGTACTTATATCAGTTTAAAGCTTGTTATCAGTTTTAAAAGGGCATATAGGTCATGTCTCATTTTAAGATATAACATAATGTGCTGAAAGCTAAACAGATAACTTGGATAAAATACTCTTGCAGCAACTCCATGGTGTTTGGGCCCAGGAAGTTTTTGATGGGACTTGTGTGGCTGTAAACAACAAGTACAGATTAATGGCATTTGGCTGTGCAAAGTAAGTTGAACATCTTAACTCAGAACTGGAATATATTCTTTTTAAATTATCTGAGGGTAAAATTGTTACTGTGCTAAAGTTACTGAATTCCTAATTATGCCATTCTTTCTCTAAGCTTTCAAATACAAATCCAAAGTTTATCATATCATCAGGAAAACTATCTTGTAAAGGAAGTTATTTAATTACTTAGGTAATTATTTAATAGCGGTTGGTGGAAGTACATATTTTTAAAATCTGCAGTTTTTAAATTCTTGATGGAAAGGTTATATCATTGTGCTTACATTTTGTACATCAACAGTTGTTGCTATAATGATCAATGTTCCCAAGTTGCCAAATCTTTTATGTTCATTGAGCAATATTGGATAAGGCTTATACTGTATAACTATGGTTTTAGAAAAAAATCTCAAACCAGTAAGTGTATTTTTGCTATTGTTATAGTAAAAAAAAAAAGATTTAAAGCAATTTTATCCCCATTGCTTCTTATCAGGTCTGTTTGCCCAGACCAACCAGGATTAGTCTGCAAAAGGTGTGGTTAACCTTTGTTTCCATTGTTTATTATGGAATTAAAATAATCACCATCCTCATTCCTGCAGCTCAGGTTTGTGGTAAATAGCACTCGAAATGGATTATCAGGCCATGTTTATATGCTTATGGCTGAAAAACAAAGGAGCATAAGGCTTGCTTTGAACTGCTTTTCTTTTTCCTGTAATAGAATGTTCAAAACATTTTAGAGTGATGGTATGGAAACATGGGACATTGTTGGGATGTTTGCAAGGTATTTTTGTACAATTTGCCTTCCTATAAATTGATTATTATATGCCTTATATTCTGCACACATGTAGAATATGTTTTGATAGACGTTTGTCAGATATTTGAGGTGTGCTATCATATCCACTGCATTCTCCTCAACACTAAATGTGTCAAATACCTTCAGTCTCTCTTCATAATACTTAGTTTTTAGTGCATTAAGTACCCTTATTGCCCTTTCTTAAACCTCTTCAAATTTTCCGAATTCTTCTTTAAAGATCTGGACAGTGTATTCAAGTTGGAATACCTGCCCCAAGATAAGAAGGCCATTTCCAGTATTGTAATATGAAATGGTACTGTGAAAATAATTTTACCAGAATACTAGATCATTCTGTTGATATCTAAAAGATTATCTATTCATTGCATTTCTAAGTTATTTGCTGCATGGTATAAAAGTAGTTATCTTTGAGGTGAGTATCAGTACCAATGGTTAATTTCTGCATTTTATATTCAGGGCTGAATTTGTGTGATTTTTATTATTATTTTAAATTTGGTTGTTAGCTAGAACAGTCTGTTTTGAAGGGGGAAAAGGTGGATGTGAAAAAATAAATAAGAAAACCAACCAATCCAATCTAACAAGTACTGTGCATAATTATTTATCTAGTAGATCTAGTAGCCAATGGATTCAGTTGGATGCAGGATGTTCATGTAGCATCCACCAGCAGTTCTTTCAAGAACTCATCTTAAATCTAGAATTGGTTTAAGGAAGGCCTGCAGATGCTACATTCATGCCCATGTCATCTTTTTTCCCTTGAATCAGGCTCTCTGCACAGTCCTAATATGATTCTAACATTTGTTTCCCTCTGACACTAATGAGCTACCGGTGGTCCTTGCCTTACAACAGTTTGTTTAGTGATCATTCAAAGTTACAACGGCACTGAAAAAAGTGACTTATGATCCTTTTTGACAGTTATGATCTTTCCAGCATCCCCGTGATCCTGTGATCAAAATTCAGATACTTGGCAACTGGTCCATATTTATGACTTTCTGTGTCCCAAGGTCATGTGGTTTTGTGACCTTCTCACAAGCAAAATCAAAGGGGAAGCTAGATTCATTTAACAATCAGGTTACTAACTTATCAACTGCAGTGATTCATTTAACAACTGAGGCAAGAAAGGTCATAAAATGGGGCAAAAATCATTTAGTAAATGTTTCACTTAACAACAGAAATTTGGGGCACATTTGTGGTTGTATTTGAATTAATTATATGAAAATGGACTTATTTTTTACCTTCAGATTTTCATCTGATCAGCTTAATTTTAAAATTCTTGTCTCAGAATTGTTTGTGTTTTTTTTCTTTTCTAGTGGCTCTGTGCAAGTATATACAATAGATCATTCCACAGGGGCCATGCAGCTATCTCACAAACTGGAACTAACACCCAAGCAATATCCTGGTAAGCCCAATTATATCAATGTTCAGGTTGGATTTTTTATCATCTTTTTGGTGATATTCCTCCTTGATTCATTTATAACAAGTAAACAATTTGGCATACAGTGGCTGTACAAAAGGCTGAGCTACCCCTCCAATCATCTGGGTCTATGCACATTCAATTATGTATATCCTGTGCAGTTCTGTAGCAGGCAATATATGTCTGACAAAATATTAAAATATTATTAGTCTTCATAAAACACAGTCAGGCTGGCCATGTTATGCTCATGGCTGTACCATCTCTGTAGAGACAGTTATTTCTTTCTTTTAAGGAGTAGTTAACGGCTGTTTGTTAACAGTAACAGAACTAGCAGATGTGAACCAAAAAAATTCTAGAAGTTGTGAAAGAGCTATGTTTGCCCTAGTTCTTTTTCTTTTTTTTAATCTAGTGGTTATAATGGTTTTGCAACCCAGGTCATTCTACTAGTTACCCAACATGAATGCATTGTTTGCTTAGCCTCAGAGAAATCAAGTGGTTGGTTACCAGGAGAAAAGATTCCCTTTACACCAACATTTATACATCTAACACACAGTTTAGAAAGTTATAAATCTTGCTTTGCATTTCCGGGTATTGTGCTCTAACTACAGACTTGTTAGAGAAATAGAGAAACTGCTTGGAAACAGTTATAAGTTTCACTTACGCTGTTCCAATATTTTTTACTAGCTTGGAAGGAATTGTGGCAGGGTTCCAGAGATCTATGACAACTTTGCTAAGAGCTCTGGTAAAAAATTTTCATATCTTTAAGCAAGAATAATTTATACAGAGGAAAGAGAGAGGGCGGAATGTAGATATGCATTTTCTATTTATCCTGATGACTTCTTACTCTGTTTTTGTGCATTACTTCTATGTATCTAATGAGGATAAAACTCTGCATAAAATTAAATTGCACCCTGTTAGAATTAATATTTTGAGGAATATTACCTATCCCATAGAGCCAATGTATAAGGTGACCAGACGTCCCACATCTGGCGGGACAGGCACGCCTTTTCATAATTTTTCCTGTGTCCCAGGCCGTTCTCAAAAAACCTGCTTTATTTTGGCGCTCGCTGGTTCCCCCGCCCATCAGCTGCTGCTAGCTCGCTCGTTCTGTTCCCCCATCTATTCTATTCTACACTCAAAAACTAAGCCAGCCCAACCTGCCACTCACTGATTGGCCTGGACTCCAGCCAATCAGTGAGTNCTTTAGAAAAAAAAAACCCCAGGGGTGTTCAAACTTGACAGCTTTAAGACTTGGGGACTTCACATCCCAGAATTCCCCCTCTTGCTCTTCATCTTGATGATGTGCGCATGGGCGAGGGGGGGAGTTGGAACCCGTTCTAAACGGCACTGTAGATTTGTGGAACCTCTTCTATAGAAGAGGTTAGAACTGGCAGGAACCCACCGCTGCAGTATACAGGTCCTCAATGGAAGGCAGGTTGGTAGGCATTTTTTTTCTCTACAGTTCTAATTTTTCTGTTGAAGTCTGTGTTTGTCTTGTTTGGTTGCAGAGCCAAACCAGACAGTTATGGAGGTGCAGATGACAGACTCAATAATTATTATTTATTGGTGTCAGAAGCATCACAATTAAAATGCAGCATATAGGAGGACAAAACCTTTACAATATACAATACAAGATTTAAAGAAGTACAAATCAAATAGATCTTGCCCAGAAACTAGCAACATTAATTGCATTCTGTCCTGCTGCCGTGAGATCCTCAAGAGTTCACTGATTGGGACACAAACGCCACGCATACATAGGTGGTGGTGTCTGCATGTCACCACAGCTGCAAAGAGCAGAAGCAACCAGAGAGCTCCATTGGTCCAGTGTCTTTGGATCTTGTACCTGTGTACAGTCTATTCCTGTGATGGCGAACCTATGGCATGACAGGTGGCACAGAACTCTCTCTGCGGGCACGCAAGACGTTGCCCCAGCTCAGCTCCGCCATGCATGCGGGCACGCCTCCCTCTGGCCAGCTGATTTTCAGGTCTCTGCTGCACACGTCCGGGGGGAGGGGTGCATGCGGGAGACGCGTGTGCATGCATGTGTGGGTGGGGTCCCAGGAGGCTACAGGGAGGCCTACTAGGCTCAAAACGGGGCATGTGGGGGTGTCGCGTGCGCATGCACAGAGGGGCGTGGCGTGTGGGGCTGGTGGTGTCACGCTCGCATTGCATTATGGGTGCGGGTGCGCATGATGACAAAAAGGTGAGCCATCACTGGTCTATTCAATAGTGTAGAGTTGTGGTGGTGCAGCCTAACTCTGCCGACTGCCAGCAGTTCAGTTCTCACCGGTTAAAGGTTGACTCAGCCTTCCATCCTTGGGAGGTCGGTAAAATGAGGACCCAGGTTGTTGGGGGCAACAGGCTCATATTATAAACCCGCTCAGAGAGGGTTTATAAAAGCCCCATGAAGTCCAAGTAAATTGCTTTAGAGAAGGCTGTCAAGCACTGTGGAGCAGTATATAAGTCTAAGTGCTATTGCTATTGTTATCACTCTTCAATCATTTCCATACTTCCCAGCAGTGGTGGGATCCTCCCAGTTTAACAACCGGTTCGGTGATCGCGCGATTTGTGCACACGCACTGTTTGAAGAAATCTTCACTTCTGGGTATCTGCGGAGGAGGAACACAACTGATTAACACGGCGGTTGAGATGATAAAAGGTAGGAATATAGCCTGGGCGGGTGGGCCAATCTGATTGTCGCTGTGAACTGGTTCTCTCCCAGCTAATCGTCGGAGCTACCGGTTCGCCTGAACTGGTCCGAATTGGTAGAATCCCACCCCTGCTTCCCAGCTATCATCAGACCCAGGTGTCAGCTTCTCCATTGATTCCATCCAGTGTTGGCTCTTCGTAGCTTTCCATAGGTCCACTCTGCTTTCAAATTCTTCAAAGTCTCCCATCGATCTAGCTTTTCCTGGATTTTTATCTCTGATGTGCTGGCTGCAGACATCTAAGTTATCCTGGACCATAACATTTAACCTGGAAATAGAAGGAGCTGGTCCCACCAGCCCCTCACCCCTCTTCTGAGCTATAACACGCTCTATTTTCCTTTATCCAACATATCCAGGTAGTTATACGTTTCAAGATCTCACCTTTGCTCAGAAGATGCATACAGTATATGTACCTCATTTTTCAGGAGTTAGTAAGTTCAAGGTTGCCCAAGGCTGTTCTCCTGGACAGAGTCCACTGCTTGTACTTCTTCCTTTCGAGGGTTTATTTGCATGGTTTCATCACTAGTTGGGCATAATTGACCTGTGAAGTCCATTGAATGTGAGATGATTATCCTAACTCAGATGACATAAAGAGGGTTGGGTGAATTTTATGGAGAAGAGGTCCCTCAAGGATATTTTGAATAGTCATCCTGCTTTCACAAAGACCTAGCAACCTTTCTTGCCTCTCACAGTCACAGTTGTCTGAATCCACATCTTCCCTGTGAGAAGAGATAGATGTTCATTCATTCCCATATTCCCTCAACCCCTCACCTTTTAAATCAGGGGTCCCCAACCTCCAGGCCGCAGCCCACTGCCGGTGCCTAGCCTGTTAGAAACCAGGCCGCGGGAGAAATGGGCAAGTGTGCAAGTGTGCGAAGCTGCACTCTACGTGAGCGGAGGACACTTGCACTTGTGCATGAAGCACAACTGCTCTTTGCTGAAGCCCTCTCCGCTCTTGCGAGTGGAGCTTTGCATGCGAGCGCAAGTACCTAAAACTCGTGCGAGTGGAGCTTCTCACGCGAGTGCAAACACTCTCCGCTCGTGCACGAAACTCCATTTGTGAGTGGAGGGTGCATGCACACGCCGCTCAGACAAATGGAGCTGTGTGTGTGTGTGTGTTTAAAACACACACACATACATACACACTGTGCTGGCCAGGCCACCGGGCTGGAAATATTAGGGACCACAGTTTAGATGGAGAAAAAATTTTGGTCTGTTTTGGTCGCTGGTCTTAAGACTGTAATAATAAATTGCTGTTGTTATTTCCAGAGTTGGAAACCAAGGTTGGGAAGAGTGGAGAATCATTCTGTCTCCCCTACAGCCTCAGGGTTGGGTTCCACCACAAATCCGCGAAGCCCTTATCCGCGGAGACATGAGCGCAAAGACTAATTCGCGCCGTTCGAAGCACTAAGGAAACACGCGACCCTACCGCGATGACATAATCGCGGAGGGCAAATCCGCGCATTCCCAAGCA